TTTTTACGATTTTTTGTCCATTTTTCGTGATGGGATCCCTTGAAATTGGTGTTTTTCCCTAAAGGGTCCACAGTGATGGCTTTATCTTCCCCAATTCTCATCCGATTCTTAAGCGGAGTACCTTAAACGATTTCTGGAATCCTGAGATAAAATATTTTTACGATTTTTTGTCCATTTTTGGTGATGAGATCCCTTGAAAATGATTTTTTCCCTATAGGGTCCACAGTGGTGGCTATATCTTCCCCAATTCTCATCCGATTCTTAAGCGGAGTACCTTAAACGATTTCTGGATCGATTCTCCACCATTTTGCATCAAAATCCTGAGAGCAAATATTTTTACGATTTTTTGTCCATTTTTGGTGATGAGATCCCTTGAAAATGGTGTTTTCCCTATAGGGTCCACAGTGATGGCTATATCTTCCCCAATCCTGATTCGATTCTCAAGCGGAGTGTCTTAAACGATTTCTAGATCGATTCTCCACCATTCTGCATCAAAATACTGAGACAAAATATTTTTAAGATTTTTTGTCCATTTTTCGTGATGGCATCCCTTAAAAATGGGGTTTTTCCCTATAGGGTCCACAGTGATGGCTTTATCTTCCCCAATTCTCATCCGATTCTTAAGCGGAGTACTTTAAACGATTTCTGGATCGATTCTCCACCATTCTGCATCAAAATCCTGAGACCATTTTTGGTGATCACTTGAGTGGTGATCCTTGGTAGATCCCTTGAAAATGGTGTTTTCCCACCATCGATGTGGATCGATTCTCCACCATTCTGCATCAAAATCCTGAGACCATTTTTGGTGATCCCTTGAGTGGTGATCCTTGGTAGATCCCTTGAAAATGGTGTTTTCCCTATAGGGTCCACAGTGATGGCTATATCTTCCCCAATCCTGATTCGATTCTTAAGCGGAGTACCTTAAACGATTTCTGGATCGATTCTCCACCATTCTGCATTAAAATACTGAGAGAAAATATTTTTACGATTTTTTGTCCATTTTTGGTGATGAGATCCCTTGAAAGTGGTGTTTTCCCTATAGGGTCCTTGAAAATGGTGTTTTTCCCTATAGGGTCCACAGTGATGGCTTTATCTTCCCCAATTCTCATCCGATTCTTAAGCGGAGTACCTTAAACGATTTCTGGATCGATTCTCCACCATTCTGCATCAAAATCCTGAGAGCAAATATTTTTACGATTTTTTGTCCATTTTTCGTGATGGGATCCCTTGAAATTGGTGTTTTTCCCCATAGGGTCCACAGTGATGGCTTTATCTTCCCCAATTCTCATCCGATTCTTAAGCGGAGTACCTTAAACGATTTCTGGATCGATTCCCTACCATTCTGCATCAAAATCCTGAGAGCAAATATTTTTACGATTTTTTGTCCATTTTTCGTGATGGGATCCCTTGAAATTGGTGTTTTTCCCCATAGGGTCCACAGTGATGGCTTTATCTTCCCCAATTCTCATCCGATTCTTAAGCGGAGTACCTTAAACGATTTCTGGATCGATTCTCCACCATTCTGCATCAAAATCCTGAGATAAAATATTTTTACGATTTTTTGTCCATTTTTGGTGATGAGATCCCTTGAAAATGGTGTTTTCCCTATAGGGTCCACAGTGATGGCTATATCTTCCCCAATTCTCATCGGATTCTTAAGCGGAGTACCTTAAACGATTTCTGGATCGATTCTCCACCATTCTGCATCAAAATCCTGAGAGCAAATATTTTTAAGATTTTTTGTCCATTTTTCGTGATGGCATCCCATAAAAATGGGGTTTTTCCCTATAGGGTCCACAGTGATGGCTATATCTTCCCCAATTCTCATCCGATTCTTAAGCGGAGTACTTTAAACGATTTCTGGATCGATTCTCTACCATTCTGCATCAAAATCCTGAGAGCAATTATTTTTACGATTTTTTGTCCATTTTTGGTGATGAGATCCCTTGAAAATGGTGTTTTCCCTATAGGGTCCACAGTGATGGCTATATCTTCCCCAATTCTCATCCGATTCTTAAGCGGAGTACCTTAAACGATTTCTGGATCGATTCTCCACCATTTTGCATCAAAATCCTGAGAGCAAATATTTTTACGATTTTTTGTCCATTTTTGGTGATGAGATCCCTTGAAAATGGTGTTTTCCCTATAGGGTCCACAGTGATGGCTTTATCTTCCCCAATTCTCATCCGATTCTTAAGCGGAGTACCTTAAACGATTTCTGGATCGATTCTCCACCATTCTGCATCAAAATCCTGAGAGCAAATATTTTTACGATTTTTTGTCCATTTTTCGTGATGGCATCCCTTAAAAATGGGGTTTTTCCCCATAGGGTCCACAGTGATGGCTTTATCTTCCCCAATTCTCATCCGATTCTTAAGCGGAGTACCTTAAACGATTTCTGGATCGATTCTCCACCATTCTGCATCAAAATCCTGAGAGCAAATATTTTTACGATTTTTTGTCCATTTTTCGTGATGGGATCCCTTGAAATTGGTGTTTTTCCCCATAGGGTCCACAGTGATGGCTTTATCTTCCCCAATTCTCATCCGATTCTTAAGCGGAGTACCTTAAACGATTTCTGGATCGATTCTCCACCATTCTGCATCAAAATCCTGAGAGCAAATATTTTTACGATTTTTTGTCCATTTTTCGTGATGGGATCCCTTGAAATTGGTGTTTTTCCCCATAGGGTCCACAGTGATGGCTTTATCTTCCCCAATTCTCATCCGATTCTTAAGCGGAGTACTTTAAACGATTTCTGGATCGATTCCCTACCATTCTGCATCAAAATCCTGAGAGCAAATATTTTTACGATTTTTTGTCCATTTTTCGTGATGGGATCCCTTGAAATTGGTGTTTTTCCCTATAGGGTCCACAGTGATGGCTTTATCTTCCCCAATTCTCATCCGATTCTTAAGCGGAGTACCTTAAACGATTTCTGGATCGATTCTCCACCATTCTGCATCAAAATCCTGAGAGCAAATATTTTTACGATTTTTTGTCCATTTTTCGTGATGGCATCCCTTAAAAATGGGGTTTTTCCCTATAGGGTCCACAGTGATGGCTATATCTTCCCCAATTCTCATCGGATTCTTAAGCGGAGTACCTTAAACGATTTCTGGATCGATTCTCCACCATTCTGCATCAAAATCCTGAGAGCAAATATTTTTAAGATTTTTTGTCCATTTTTCGTGATGGCATCCCATAAAAATGGGGTTTTTCCCTATAGGGTCCACAGTGATGGCTATATCTTCCCCAATTCTCATCCGATTCTTAAGCGGAGTACTTTAAACGATTTCTGGATCGATTCTCCACCATTCTGCATCAAAATCCTGAGAGCAATTATTTTTACGATTTTTTGTCCATTTTTGGTGATGAGATCCCTTGAAAATGGTGTTTTCCCTATAGGGTCCACAGTGATGGCTATATCTTCCCCAATTCTCATCCGATTCTTAAGCGGAGTACCTTAAACGATTTCTGGATCGATTCTCCACCATTCTGCATCAAAATACTGAGAGAAAATATTTTTAAGATTTTTTGTCCATTTTTGGTGATCCCTTGAAAATGGTGTTTTCCCTATAGGGTCCACAGTGATGGCTATATCTTCCCCAATTCTCATCCGATTCTTAAGCGGAGTACCTTAACCGATTTCTGGATCGATTCTCCACCATTCTGCATCAAAATCCTGAGAGCAAATATTTTTACGATTTTTTGTCCATTTTTCGTGATGGGATCCCTTGAAATTGGTGTTTTTCCCTATAGGGTCCACAGTGATGGCTTTATCTTCCCCAATTCTCATCCGATTCTTAAGCGGAGTACCTTAAACGATTTCTGGATCGATTCTCTACCATTCTGCATCAAAATCCTGAGAGAAAATATTTTTAAGATTTTTTGTTTGTGTTGTGAAAATGGTGTTTTCCCTATAGGGTCCACAGTGATGGCTATATCTTCCCCAATTCTCATCCGATTCTCAAGCAGAGTATCTTAAACGATTTCTGGATCGATTCTCTACCATTCTGCATCAAAATCCTGAGAAAATATTTTTAAGATTTTTTGTCCATTTTTGGTGATGAGATCCCTTGAAAATGGTGTTTTCCCTATAGGGTCCACAGTGATGGCTATATCTTCCCCAATTCTCATCCGATTCTTAAGCGGAGTATCTTAAACGATTTCTAGATCGATTCTCCACCATTCTGCATCAAAACCCTGAGATAAAATATTTTTTTAACGATTTTTTGTCCATTTTTCGTGATGGGATCCCTTGAAAATGGTGTTTTTCCCTGTAGGGTCCACAGTGATGGCTTTATCTTCCCCAATTCTCATCCGATTCTTAAGCGGAGTACTTTAAACGATTTCTGGATCGATTCTCCACCATTCTGCATCAAAATCCTGAGATAAAATATTTTTAAGATTTTTTGTCCATTTTTCGTGGTGGGATCCCTTGAAAATCGGGTTTTCCCCTAAAGGGTCCACCGGGATGGCTATATCTTCCCCAATCCTGATTCGATTCTCAAGCGGAGTATCTTAAACGATTTCTAGATCGATTTTCCACCGTTCCTCCAAATGGTTTTATAAGAATGTTTTACGCGTTTTGATTTAACAAATTTTAATAATTAAAATGTAAACCAATTATTATTTTATCAAACATGTTATTCGTTTTCATACCATCCAATTTTTAACTTATGTATCTATAAAAGTCCTCGTTATTACGACTGGAATGTAGCTGGAAGATATGTTTGTGCCGCACTTTTTTTTAAGAGATATATTTGTATATTTTTGGTTAATTATTTTATTTAAAACGTTGTATTTTTTTACTTTTAAAGCCAGACTTTCTTTTTCTGGGCAAAATGTCCAACTGTTTTCCACCTAATAAAGAACATCAAATACACTTTTCACATTCACTACTTTATAGTTTAAACACTAATTAAAATTATTAAAATAATGAAAAACACAAATGCGTGCCACTTCAATTTTAACCTTTCCCTACGGAACGATTTTTTAAATTTAAAACTAGGTTAAACTATGATTGTAGGGCGAGGCAAAGTCCCGCTGGTATGCCGCCGCCGGGTGAAGGTGGTGGGGATGGATTGGCGGTGGTGCAGGCTGGTGGTGCCCGTTCATGCCACCGTAGACATCTGGGCGGGATTTGTGCGAGTTCGATGGAGTGCCACTCAGAAGCTCCGCCATAAAGCCAATGTAGGTGATGGCTAGACGGAGGGTCTCGATGCGGGAAAGACGCTTTTCATAGGCAAAGGTGGGCACCTTCCGGCGCAACTTATCGAAGGCCTCGTTCAGGTTAAACATGCGCCTTCGCTCGCGGATATTGGCGGCTCTCCTCTGGGCCATTGAAGCCACACGACGTCGGGTCTTCTTGGAGGAGCTTGAGGTGCCATTAGATCTACCATTAGTGGTTGGACGTTGGGGCACAAGTGGCGTTGCCTGTGATCGCTGCCATATAGCTGTTAGTGGATAAGGATTAGCTTCAGTAAAGTATTTCCAGGATTTTTTACTTTTAGGATACTCACACAAATCTGTGCAGGGAAATCCAGCAATTAGCTCCTGGTAGGGCACTATTGGCGGCGGGGGTGGTGCCTCTTGCCCCCATAATGGCTGGAATGGAACCTCCGGCATGTAAGTAGGCTGGTCACTTGGATGTGGATGCTGCATTATAGTTTCAAATATCTACTGCAATTGGAAGACCTTGGGTCTGTTCTGTTTGGAAGACTGTGTTGCAATAAGTTCTGATTGTCCTGCGGACCTCAAAAGTCAGCTCGGAATGGTTTCCAATTTTGCTTATTGGATTTTCATCCCCTTCCTGGTGGCGGCATCTGCACAGGAGCCATTTTGAATTGGCAACAGTTTGACGGGTTCTGATTGGTCGTCCTTGCTGGAGGGTTGCATGGAGTATTAAGGATGTTCCAGTTAACGATTCTGGTCAGAATTAAAAGGATATTCTAATTTAAAGAATTACTTATGAAAAATATGTGTATAAGCTTGATTTACAACGACTTATTATTATATAAGCAACATTATTTTATATGGTTTTGTTTTTCTAAAAACAAATATTTCTTATTCGAAAAGTAATTAATGAAAAGTAAAGAGTATTTAATATTATAAGGTAAGTTATTTAGAAAATAAAGCTAGAACTTGTTTTTAATTTAAAAAAAATCATTAATATTTAATTCTATACCATTTTTTTTGTACATAAATAAATATATTTTAAATAAATGTTATTTATGAACCTTTCGAGATTGCAAACTGTCAAATTCGAATGGTTTGTGCCTGAACTAATCAAAAGTATCAAGGACCCAAACCATTTCGAATAGGAACGGTTTTCAGTGTTCCCACATGAAATGTTTACTTAAATGCTTACTTGGAATTTCAAATTCAATTTAAAACTCTAAAAAAGTTATTAATTAAATTCAAAATACTAAATTATGTGACTTGTTAAAATTATACACCACAATAAATTAAAAAAATTACCTCTGCTAACTGTTGAATGCATTTGTTTTTGTTTATAAGCCAAGCTTTCTGAGAAACATACTCCGTATTCAGCTCTCTGTCGGAATGTGATGGCAGTGCTCCTGCGCGGATAATTCCACCGGCTTTTGGCTCCAAAAACACCAAAAATGAGTGGCCTCATAGCCCCGTGGGAAGAAAGGAATTCCCTCCATTGTGGCAACAATTCAGCCGCGTGGCAACAGGACAACGTCCGAGGCTTAGAAAGGAATGCGCTGACAGGCCGAGGTAAGCCTTTGATGGGCATTTGAAGTTTTGATTCCTTGGAGGGAGGTGGGTGTCTTGGAAGCGAAGGATGATGGATATCCTGGCGGGGCCGACTGTCGCTAAAGTTTCAATGGGAATGATTTGTAACATAAGGGGCAAAGCGAACAGGTCCTGAACTTTTTGGTTTGCATTCGAAAGTTCCTTTTTATGGCACAAAATGAGGTTCCCGGTTTATTTATTTAGTTCGTTTTATGTTCTCCTTCTTCGAAGGAGTGTAACTCGAGAGTTCTTCATTGTGTCAATAGCTTGAAATTGGATATGAAGTGCCTCGGATACTGTCAAGCAAAGACAGACCTCCCACTTTGATGGCTCAATCCAGTCAAGAGATCGAGTTCAAAAACAGTTCCACATAAAAATAGTTGTAAAATTTGCATTCATTTCATTTTCAACCATTAGGCAGTCTCTGGCCTTCATCATTCGTTTCCCAGGACAAACAAACTCCTTGGTAATCCACTGATTCTAGTTTGCAAAAGGGACTTGGAGTTACAAGAAATGTCCAAGGCGATTTGTTTGTGTCTGCGTCTGAGCACTCGCCAGGATTTATGCTCTCTGTGATGGCAGTGTTTGCATTATGAAAATGTGGAAATTTGAATTTTTTTCCGCCCTCCTTACTACTTAGTCCTTACTCCTGCCTTGGCGTTTCCTAATTTTCCACACAAATGCATTTTATTTATTACGCAATTTGGGGATTTGTACGCGAAGCCACAACTGGAAGCGACATAAAAGCGCTTAACTCCAAAGCGTTAAACGAGGCATTAGCCCCAGTGGATTACTCTTGATGGTCCAGGTCGTGGTCCTGTTGGAGGTTTTGTTCCCAAGACAACAGGCAACAAAGCAAATATTACACCGGGCGTATACGTAATATGCTCAGGTAAGAGACACGTGGACTAATCTCGCTACCCATGATTTGAAAAAGTATTCATTTTTCATTTATTTTTGTAAAACCCTAAAAATTATTCAAATGAAGTAGTTTACAGGGACATCTAGCCAGTGGCGCTAGAAATGCACTAAAATTTCGAATGCCATGATTTCTTGTCCCTAAATAAACAAAAAAAAAAGAAAAAAAAAAATATTAAAAAATAAGCATGGATGTCTCGAAATTTTTCGTAATCATGCGACGATATCGACTCGGATCAGTCCGGTTGTCGACTGCTGGAATTAGGCATTATGGCCAGAAGATGGTAGAAGGAGTACATCTCCAGTACGTCAGCTACAGATTGCCGCACAACCATCAGATGTCTCCGCCCATTATCGTAATGCACGGTCTGGCCCAGACACTGAGCTCCTGGCGGCGCGTGTCCCGCAATCTGTGCAGCAAGGGGCCTCGTCGGGTGATCACGGTGAGTGCCAGAAACCACGGAGCAAGCGCCCGTACGGAGGCACACACGCCCCGGGACATGGCATCCGATATCTTAACCCTGATGCGTCGCCTAGGCCTGACTCGGATCGTTGCTCTGGGCCACGGCATGGGTGGTAGGGCGATGATGACCCTAGCTTTGGAGCAACCTCTCCTCGTCGAACGAGTCATTGCGGTGGATGTCACACCGGGTCCGGTGCCAGAGAGTTGGTATTTAAGCAGGAAGAGGTTCGAGCTGATGTCGCAGATCGCCCCCACAATTCCGGGTCATCTCACTCTTCACGAGGGTCGCGTCTTCGTGCTGAATAAGGTGAAGCACCTCATAACGAACCGTAATGAGATTCTGACGATTCTTCAAAATCTGCGCAAACCGACTGATAACAGTTTCGCCTGGTCGATGAATGCCCAGGCGGTGCTGAACTCCTGGAAGGATCTGGTCACCCACTACGAGGACACCTTGAAGGGCCTGAAGCCGTACACAGGCCAGGTGCTTCTCATAGGCGGTTCTCAGTCGGGATTCGTCACCAGCTCAACTATCGATATAATGAAGAAATACTTTCCCAATACGACGGTCAAGTCCCTGGACACAGGCCACCAGGTGTACAAGGAGCAGCCGGATCAGTTCGTTCAACTGGTGGTGAACTTTACGCGGTAATGCTCACCGTGTAATTGATAGTTGGCTTAACTATAGGACATGGACTTTAAATTGCTTGAAGCTTTGGCAGTTGGCTGAAATTTCAGCACTCAATATACTCGCCCGATAATTGCGCTGTCAGCACAATGGATGCTGCAAAAAGGGTGAATGGCTGAAAGTAACAGACAGCTGGATTTGCGGGATTAGGACCAGGACTGGCGCCCACAAAAAGGAGCAAAGGCCCGAGCAGCCGAAAATCGTTGCCCCATCAACTTGGCAGCCAGTCGAATCGATACCTGGCACTCTCAGGTGCAGAGAAGTGCTCCAGCACACAAAGGTCCTCCACCATTTTTGCCAATAAAGTAGCACAAGGTGAGGCCAAATGCGGCACAATGCGATACAATTTAGATTTACATGCTTCGTCTGATTTATTTGTATTGGACGTGTGGGCGATAGAGTCTTCTGGCTGACTGGCTCCCTTTTGTGTCTGTGGACTGGCTCCCTTCAAAAGTCGATAATCTGTGGTGGCGAGCTCACCGGTCTCCGTCTTTTCATTCCTCCATCTTTCCATATACGGAATGATTCCGATGTATTTTTGCCAGAAATTGAGTCATGACTGAGATTTGAATGTAGACAGGGACAATGTGTACTCTAGAGTGGTCCTTGTTAAGTCAGATATTAAAAAAAAGTACTTTAATTTATTTTGTTATACAATTTTTTATTAAGGTATAGGTACAAAGTATAGTATAGAAGAAATCTTAATCTAAAAAATGTGTATAATTTGTTTCTATCATAGATTCAGATATAATTTTGTAATAATTAGGAATAATAAATCATTGTTAAGTATAATTGTACAATTTGTATCGATATCCTTTAAGGATATATGTAGTATAAGTAACCAGAACCACCTTAATGTACAGAGTCTGTGCCAGAGCTATGAATCCTTAAGTTGTTTGGCCCGGACCAACTCGAAATAACTCGCACAACATTCCTGCCACATCCGACACAAGCCACGTCGTGGTGCCGCCTTTGTTCCGGCTTTAATGAGGATTACGTGAAATTTCATTATGCTCCGTAATAAATAAGTAGCAAGTCAAATAAACAGGGTCTGGCAAACAAATGCTGGGGAATGAATGCATGTGGCATGTGGATGTGAAACACAAACATCCTCCGCCGTATACAATATTAAAATTTAGACACGTACACATTTTATTGCTTGTCTTCTCGGCGGGCACGGGTTGTGTGTTGGTGTGGCATTCGTGTTTCAGTGGCAGTTGCATAAGACTAAAAAATATGAAAAAACAAGTGTAGGAGTATACAAATATGGGATTACTCGCGAAATCAATCCGAGTCGGAATCCAATATGGCAGTATTCGTGTCCAAATGGGTGTTGTAATACTGAATAAGGGCACCTGGTGCCCACTTTTTCATTTCATCATTGGTTACCACTTCAAGTTCCGCACATCTCTTGAACTTGACCAGAAAATGCAATTTCTCATTTTTTTTGAATGCACAAATAATCTCCTTTAGGATCAGGTCCCTGCTAAATCCATTATTTTGAGTCACTGGCCCCAGAAAGTCAAAGTTTCCTCCTGAAATTCAAAGATACAGGTCAATAAAATGGTCAAAAACAAAAATTCATTTTTTTTATGAATTACGACTCATAGATTGGAGGATCCTCAGATTGTTTGGCTTCATGGGACGTCCCTAAAAATATCATTTTCACTGTGGACTTTACATTTAAAGGAATATGTGCCATAACATTACCCGGCGTCGCTCTCCGCTAGAGTTATGGAACCGCAAAGCCTTAATGGAGTCGGTTATTGGTGGGCGTCCCTAAAAGATTCTTTATTATTTAAAGAATGGTGTTTAAATTAAAATGTGCTCACCCTAGGTTTTCCCATTTTGTTCATTCCAATCCTATTTTTTTCCATCATCCTCCTTAGTTTTGTCTTGGGGGAAAGTGGGGGGCGGCCCTACAAAATTTGATTCTTTACAATATTTTTGGTGTTTAAGTTAAGAAGTATTTACCCTTCGCTTAGGTTTTCGAGGAACATCCCCCAGGGCTCCAGCAGCTAGGCCATGGTTCTTTTGTGGATCATGCTTTACTTCCACGTGTGATTTCGATGACTCAGCATATTCCTAAAGAATTTTTTTTATTTTTTCGTTAAAGATGCTTGATATTTCAGAAACGCTTACCTGGTTTGACATTTTTTCTATATAATCCTTTACTTCGAAATCAGAATCTTCGTCAAGGGAATCAAAAATTGATTTACTGAGACTGGTCTATTTAGAGGAGGAAAGTGGGATTCAATGCAATCCATCTTTTTCTGGGCTTAATGTGAAAAAATACTTACCACTGTTTGATCGTCTACTTCGAGGGAAAAAGGTGCATAAAAAACAGGACCATCCGATCCCAAACTTATGAAAGAATCGGAGTCAGACAACTCATTATCCTAAAGTTTGAACATTTTTTTAGTTTTTCTGGTGTTTGATTCAAGAAAAGCTTACCTCAGGTTGCTTGGGTTGTTCATTTAAAGTTTTATTCACCGTAGGTATTAAGTAACTATAAGATAGCGAATCCATTTCAAGTTTTTCACTTTTTTTCAAACGAAAATGACAAATCCAATAATTTTTCGTTCTTCCAGGGCTGGAGTACAATTGCAGGTGACGTTTGAGTGGCAATGCGCTTTTTTTTAGAGTGACCATAAAGTTTAGAGTAACCTTAAAGTTTAAAGGAGAAAACGCAGCCGATAATCCTGCCACACTTCGACTAATAATGACTGTACGCAATTTATCTCAATTAATCGGAGATTACATTTTATGAATATTGATTTTGTTCGCAGCTCGTGCCGCTCTATTAATTGAACTTTCGGTTGGGTGGTTCGCAATAAGGGATGGATACGGATACTCAATATCCATCTTCCGATTCGGATTCCATTGCCGACTCGTGCCAGTTTGTACAGGTAGATTGCTGCGTGTTTGCCTTGGCAGACATCCAATTCATTAGCTGTTTCTCCGCCTCAAACCCGGGCGAAAGAACACATAAAAGCTGCAATGTGTGCATTGAGAGATGCTGATGAATCAACCCGGGATGCTCCTGCCAGGATGCTACTTGCCCCACACTCCGCACAATCCAAAATTCGGTATCCAACTGTAGCAGCCATTCCGGGCCAATTCCGCTGCTATGCTTTTGTCTTTTCAATTACTCGCGAGCTTCAAAGTCAAAACTTTTGTGCAATTATCCTGCGAGACAATTTTCGCTGTCTCGATTTTTATGAGCTCGCAAAGTTCTATGGCGCGGCGGGAGAACTTTTCCACCCTGAAATTGTTTCCATTTTGTTGTTTTCCCTTCAAGACAGTTGATTTTTAATTTCATGTTGGTGGTTTCCTTGGCCCAAAACCCTGCAGCTGCATTTTTCTCGTCTACTTTGACTACTAGGGGGCGGGTTCGAAAAGTTAACGTCGGTTTAAAGTAAAACTTATACCCCGAAGTTGGAGGAAAAATAAAGCCGAGCAGACGCTGACCTAATGAGCAGACGCTGTCCTGCAAAAGAAATTGACACTCCGACGAGGGACCCTAATGAAGCCGGGCTTCCGTCCAGGATAAGGAACGCAACGGACAACGGACATGAGACCCGGGACACTGGCGATAAGGTCAACGGGCGTGGCTCGTAAAGAGGCGGTCATAAAAGCGAATGGCGGGTGAAAATGGCGTGGCGACAATCGGGGCGGTCCCGTTTATCTTGGACTCCTTGGACCCGTCCCCAGGCCGCCGTCCGGGATATTAATAAACACGTCTGCAGTGTCCATGTCCCGGCTACGGCGCATTATTCTTGACTCCATCAGTTTGGGGGCCTTTGTGGGGTTAATGTGGTCGGTCATTAGTGCCGTAATTGGCAGCTAATTGGCTTGATGAGTGCCGACCAGCTTGATTGGAATCTTTTGACCCAATGGCTGCCATGATAAAACGCCATGATTTAGTAGACCTTTCCAGAAGAATCTTTAACCAAGGGACATCGCCCAAGGTAATGCAGGGTATCTGCCAATCCAATTTCTGAATATGTAATCAAAACTTTGCTTATTAAAGCGAAAATGCGAAAAATTATGAATCAATTTTCAGTCGAGGGCGTAGAAAAGTGCAAAGTAATCAAAGCGTTGCAAAATTGCAGGAATAATGGAGGTGAAAGTCGTTAAAATTTGCATAGTTCTTGTAGTCTCTGGACTGATTTGAAAATTGGGTCATTTCAACCACAAAAGTGGATAGAATTGCAATTTTATTTTCAGCGCGACTATCCATTATGAGATCGATAAATTCTAATAGATGAACCAGAGAGTTCTTTTTATTTATATTTTTGTTTTTCTGTATATCTGATGTTTGTTTTATGGATTTTAATTTTTTTTATTTATTTATTGCGCCAATTTGCGCCAAAAATAAATTCCCAAAGCCATATGCCACGTTCCCAAAGCCGTATGTCACGTGGCATTTTTATTTATCGAAATTTTTTAATCAGTTCTGATACGGGTATGGAAGTTTTTTTTTAATTTTCGGCGAATTTTTTGATACTTTTGATCAATTTAATAACTGTTAATGATTTATTTACGTTGGAATAGACCACCAAATGTAACAAAAAGATGCCATCCTGTATCCAAAAGTATGTCAATAAACAGTAATGGATTTATCTTTAGCCTTACCAATTCCATTTCAAATTAATTTTGTTATTTTTTGCACACAAAGTAGTAAATGAAACACTTTTCTCCTACAAAGCCAAGCCAACTATAAAAAAGCGCGATGTATAAATCAGTGTGGCCAAAGCTTGAAAAGGTATCAGCTGAACTTCGGCCACAAAAATGTAAAAAGTTTACCAACACGCTTGTATAAGTTCAACAACAAAAAAATATTCTGAACAAAGTAGGCGTACTACTACCATTTCTAGAAAATGATACAGCTTACACTCAGTCCCTTTTTTTATTCGTAGTCTCTTGGATGTCATCAAAGATTTCAGTATTTTTTATAATTCAAAGGAATCGGTTCGTGTTTGATCAGCAGTAAAAGCCCCATAAATCGGAGTTTTACACAATTTTTTTTTATCTGCGATGGACCTCACGACAGTCAGCGTGGTGTATGCCAATCCATTTTATGTCCAGAATTACGCCGAAATGGGGCAGCCACAGCAGATCCAGTTACCGCAACAGGGTCCTCACCAGCACCAGATCTACCATACCGGCTATATGGTCAGTACCGCACCAACCCTGGTGCCCGGCGCTCTCAACGTGCAGCCGGTGAGTACTAGCAGCCCAGTTTTTGGTCAGACTCGACCTCTGTTCGGAGATCTGTACCGCTTCGAGGACGGCGGTGGGGATGCCAGTGGCTCGCTGTTGTTGGGCCAGGACGATGGTGGTTTCTGTGGCGGCAATGTCACGGGAACTGACAGTGGCTCCGGAGCTGGCAGCGAAAACGACGACACCGAAGAGCCGCGGAGCGGAGAACCCCAATCGCCCATGTCGTTCACGACGACAAGCACCTCGTCCTCTTGCTTGGATGCGACCAATAACGATTCAGGCATCCAGGCGGGCCTCTTCAAAACACTCACCGACGAGAGTGATGAGGAGGAGGAGGATGAGGATCCGGCGGGGATGGCGGCGGCTCTTGCCAGTGTTTCGTTACAAGGGTATGGACAGGACATGGAAGATCGGGACACGATACAGCTTGACGGAAGCGCTCAGGTGAATCGCGATCAAACAGAGATAGACGAGGTGGGCGACGACCAGGACCAGGACATGCAGTTCACCTCTGTTTATCCGCGCACCACGGACGAGTTCCTGCCACAGCTACCGCTGCCGCGGCCCTGCGCTTTCATGAACGTGGGCCAGGAGCAGTATATCATCCAGCCGGACACGGTGTTTGTGCTGGGCATGCGCTTGAACGTAACTAAGAACGACATAATCGCCTTCTTCGGCAAACTGGGACTGATCAAGATGGACCAGTCCACTAGCAAGCCGAAGATCTTCGTCTACAAGAACAAGTTGACCGGCCGCTCCAAGGGCGAGGCCACCATTACCTATGTGAGTCCCTACTCGGCCCAGGCAGCCATCGCCTGTCTAAACGGAAGCAAGTTCATGGGCCAGCAGCTGACGGTCCTGCCTGCCTACCTGTCCACCCGGAAGGGCAGTGTCCGGTTTAGCTATCCGCGCGAGCTCAACCCCCTTGACCAGCAGCGACGCCAGCGGCAGCAGCGGTGGAAGCCAGCCAGTGACAACTGGGTGTGCCTCATCTGCCGCAACAGCAACTTTGTGTGGCGCTCCAGCTGCAACCGATGTGAGGCCAGCAAGCAGACGGCCTCGGCCGGGGCAGAGTTGGCCTCAGTCGGAACAGAAATAGCTCGTGGCGGTATGGGAAGTGATGGCGGCTCAGGAGGACTCTCATCTGGAGGAACTCGCTCATCAACGGGAAACGGAAACGAGAACGGAGGCCGCCGTTGGAGGCCGCAAAAGAATGACTGGCCGTGCCCATTCTGTTTCAACGTGAATTTCTGGTACAGGACCAAATGCAACAGGTGCCGTGCCCCTCGAGAGGAGGCCGTGGCCACTCACACTGAGACGGAGCCAGAGAAGGAGCGCTGGGAACTGGTGGACAGCCAAGTCTCTAGCAACGAGTAATTCACTGGATGTTGATCGTATAATTTGTCCGTCGTATCCGTCTACGTAATCTTCCATCCCATCAACCCCTTATACCACATCCGTACATTCAATTTGTGTTGTTGTTTATTAAGCCTCTCTGGTGACAACCAGCACTGTTTCATCTTCATCTCCTGCTTCAGGCCCCACAAAATTACCAGTGATTGGAACACACACGCTGAGCTGTGTCGGGAGCGGAACCATGTGGCCGATCCGATTCCGATCTTCCCGCAAGAACTGAATTCCGTTCGAATCGATAAAAAACATAACCCGCAAGCCAATATGGACGTCAAAATTCCCGTTTATCTGTGTAGTTGCAAAATGCCAAGTCGTGGCCATCGCATTCCTAGATAATCCTTCGATTCATGCAATCCATATGCACAAGGTATGCTACGAATGCCCTTCGAGCGTCAAATCCACCCCGAGCAAGAGCACTAAGACCGCGGGCACCAACCTGGGACACGCTGAATGAAAGGTAATCCACTTGATTCGGGTAACTGAATATTTTACCCAGCACAAAAGCCATCCGGTTGGGACTCTGGACTCTGGACTACGGACTCTGGACCCACCTGGCAAGTTCTAAACGTTTAATGAATTTATTTACTTGCCCGGATTGGCTCTTCGGCTCATGGCTGGGTGGAACGGCACTCGAAAAAATGCAACATAATCATCTAAATTATTAAATAAAGTTTTGGGTATATCAAACCAAACAGAATATTATGGCAGTTTTATTCAGATTTTTATGAAAACTAAAAATTTTTATCCAATTTAGTCCGATTTTTCCAGTGTACTTGTGCCAGGCCACTTGAAGCTCTATCCCAAGGAGCCGAGTCGGATACCCTGGCTGCCTTTCTCCTGGGTGCCTGTCATGTGATTTAATCAAACTTTGCTTGCTGCAGCCGAATCTCCGCCACAACAGCTTGGCCAGGCGGTGGGTTGCGCTTTTGGCTGCACCCGCAGTTGTGTGGTTACCTGCCACGCCCACCTGCCACTGCCCCATCCTACGCAGATTGCCCCATTCAGAGACTTTATGTTGGGCATTTACTTTGCACTTTCATCCACACGACCACTTTGGGGGCGGTCTATACTCCAATCTACCATTCCGTCCGTCCGGGCGGCTGAATGTCCTTGCGCGTTGTTTGCTCTGCCGCCTGCAGGATATTTGCGTAGCTGCAGGTGTTGCTCTTGTTCCTTGTTCTGCCTCTGGCAACAGGACAAGAAAAGAAGAAAAAACCACCGCCCACAGTGTCGCCGATTTAAAGCGGCAGTCAGGAGTAAATGCAATAAACACCATTAGCTGTAAGGACTGCTCTGGTCGACGGTCTACCATGTTTTTTTCTTGCCCGAGCCGGGAAAAGTTCACTGCGAAACGAGGCCACCAAAGTACGGGCCAAGGTAGTGCTGTCCTGGGAGATCAAGGAGCGGGCCCGGAGAGGTCTCCGCATCAAAATGCAAACGCGAATGGCGAAAAGAAAATAAAGTGAATTGAATGGAAAAGTTTCTAACTGCGGGCGCCATCAACTGGGGTGGCGGAAAGTTTCTGGTGCCCGATTTGTTTATAGTTTCCAAGATTGTCAGCTTTTTGTGACCCATTTTGGCCTTTACTTCAACGTAATTAGAGTAACTTGGTCCATACTCTGGTGCTTATATACTTTAGTATTTGTTTATTGTTGTATTTTTATGGAAATTTTTTGGTTTTGTTAATATTACAATGCAAAATTGAAAGGATAATGAAGAAGTGGTACAATTTAGTAAGTCCTTTTATTTATATTTTTGAGAAAAAAAAGGATAATTTGAATTTTTATTTTGTAAAATTTCTACCGAGGGGGCCAAGACTTAATTGTAAATCGATGAAACCGCACTCTAACTACGATAAACATTTGGAAATACAACATATGAACACGATACAAAAACTAACATTAGGACACCATCCCTATAAACGGGTATAAACAAGGATACACGGTTGAGGATGAGTAAACTTCCTGAAGAAGAGGTAAAAGACAAACGGAATAGAAAAAATCAAGCCAGATTGAAGATGAAGATTAAGAGGAAGCCGAAGACCTATTTCCATGCACATTTCGACAAGGACAATCTGGAGGAGAGACAGCCCCTTCTCGCGGATCGCGATTATGGGTTAATGAAGACCACACAGACGGCCACTCCCTACCCGAAAAAGCACAAAGCCCTGAACGCGGAGTCCTTAAAGGCACGGCTGGAGGCGCATAAAGAAGATTTGAGCACATCGAATTTGGTGTCAACGGACTCCTCGTCTGATTCCCTTAATGACCCCTATACTTTTGATGAGCCAATTCTGAGCTTCTATATGCGCCGCAAAATCTTTGACACCGCGGAGTACACCATTTGCAAGGGTCAGAAGATGAGCGAAACCTTCCATCATGGTTCGAAAGTCCTCCACGTGCCACAGGAACGCGACGGGTCAACAGATGGCCGTTCCGTCCGCGGATCGTCCCATGCTTTCACATTTCACAGCTACAAGGACCTGCAAGATTACTGCCTCACGAAAAATATCAAATTAGCAAACTGATCGGTTTTTAACAATAATCGAATTATCATAAAATAAAAGCTCATATAGAACGTTTTTAGAGCTTCTATATGTGGATTTTAACTGAACAAAGTACAAAGGAATTTTTCTTTGTGGGATTCTATGATAGGGAGGTGGGTTTCTGGAGCGGATTAACGATGCCGAGTGCAGCAAAAACATAAAACAAACGCCTTTTCGCTTTTGGCCAGGACACTTGCAGACGACTGAAGTCCACGCCACTCCACTTCACCCACATTCACAGCCACGCACCACTTTGGCTCACCACAATATCCTTAATGGCACTGGGAAAAAACAGGTTTCTAAGAAGTTTTTGAGAATTTTAGCTAAGAGATGTATTCAAGATTACAAAAATTTATATTTTAATAGAAAAAGTTTTAAAAATGGTTTTTTTAACCCAAGTTATTTTTAACCCAAAGTTTTAAGTAAGAGATACTAAGTTCCTCGCATTTAGGATTTCTCATATTATATCTTTAAATTAATATCAAATAGTTTTCCATTATTATTTTGTGGGAATGTACCATAGCTTAGTTCATTGTACTTTACGAGTATTTTGAGCGGGCTGAGCCAGCGATTTCCGCGTGTTTTTCCCCCTTTTTTCCGGTTGCCATTTTGTTGCGTTTTTGCCACGAGCTCTCCTGCCACTCGTGCCGAGTTTTTCTGTTATTTTCTGTTATCCAAGTCTCATCCTCGCACATCCTGCACATCGAACAATGGCTCGAGCCACAGTGCTGAAATGTTTGGCCATAAATTATGGCGACTTGGATCAAGGCGAGTGACTGTAAGCCCAGATTGGCACGGCTCTGACAGTTTCCAAGCCCTGCGTCGCAGAGTCACAAATCGTGAATAGCGTGAATCGTGAATAGAGATTCGCGAATCGCGTATACGCAACGTGTTCGAGCCCTTGTTCGGTTTCTGACTGTCATATTGCCAACGACACGCCAGGGATCCGGCCCCGATCCAAAAACTCCGGCGCTGTCTTTTTTCGGTCTGCGGTCGGCGTTCCCCCGGAATGTCCCCCGGAAAAGTTGCCCCCCAGCACGACCCCAATGCCTCCTGACAGCTGTTCGTGTTTTTCAGTTCTGGCCAAAAGCAGCAAATGGCTAACAGCAAATGGCTAACAGCAAATGGCAAACGCAAACAGCAAATTGGCAAAGGCCGTCACATTAGCACCATTTTCCACTCTGCGGTCATAATTCACTAAAATTAATTGTCGCATTCGGTTTTTTTGTGGTCCACGTAGCTCCTTCCCTCTCTGGTTCTGTAAACTTTCCCGGCTATTTTCCCGTCCGATTCTCAAAACTCCCCAGGGTGCGGTAAATATCATTCGGTTGGCCAACAAATAAAGTCTCCAACGCCAAAAGTGTTAACTGAATTTTCGCAAAAAATTTAAATCGGGACAAGCTTAAAATGAATGCCAAAAAATTGTTTTGGCTCTTAGCTCAGTTCAAAGGCACTGGGCCAAGATCCCAGAGCTGTAATGGCCTCCTAATTTCTGGCCAAAAAAAAAAGGGAGAACGGAAAATTATGCAAAACATAATAATAAAATTTAATAAAAAATACCAGAGCCCGCGGAAGTGGATTCCGTTGATTGTCCCAATGTGTAATACAGGCACCGGCTAATGTTGCAACATTTTATGCAAATATATTGGACCAAAGACTGGACCTTGCCCCCGGGCCTCTGTGGATTGCCTTTTCGGGCCATCTTTATCAGGTATTTGTTTATGCAGCTGCCAGCCGAGGCTTATTTTATTACGCTCTTTGGGGACTCAGATTCCGGCCCTGTTGCCGCCTCCTGTTGCCGTTTATACAAATGGCTTCTGAAATAGGCAAATAAGTACTTGGTAAGTAAATTTTTGGGCCGCCACCTGACTGCCTTTTCAGCCTCTTCTGGGCCTGGCTAGGAGGCGTCAATCGCTCGGCTCTAGGGACATAAAAATAAGTCAGCAGACAACGATGTCATTCAAGGGCTGAAAGCAGAAAGTCGGAAAGACGGCTAAAAGTTGCAAACTTCGTTTTGTTTTATTCGTTTCGGATTATAAAACGAAACGAATGTAGGCAAAACTTCTAACCGGGCTTCAAAGTCGGCAAACACGGCCACCCCAAATCACGCCTCCTTGAAAAAGGGTGAAATGGTACGGTGGGGCAATAAAATAAATTCTGGGGGCTTCTGAGGACTTTTATTGAAGTACTTGTAGAGTTTCCCTTGGGACTAGTTCTATTAATAATGGACCTATTGGAAATTGAGAAATTCTGTTTACTAGGAAAATAAAATAAAGTCATTTCTTCAATTTGAATAACATATTAATATAATTTTTTTTATATATGTACAATTTTTATATATTTTTCAATAATAATCTATCTTTCTTTCATAAATAGAATGTAGCCAATTAATATTTGATTTTATTTTTCTTTAAAAATCTAGGAATTAGGCCCACTGTCTCCCCAATGCCGATTTAAGCGCCTCCGGAAACAATAAAAACTCCGCGCGCACAATGCGCCCGGCATAAAAAGTGCTTATTACGGCGTATAGTTGACTACGGCCTTTGTGGCAATGGCAACAGAGGCAAACGGAAGCTCCGGCAACAATTGAAATAAATGAATTGGGCAAAAAGGATTGTGGGCAAACATAAAATGGAATGGCACGAGAGGCGGGCATATGGGAGAGGATTTAGGTCGATTAAGGCTGAAAATTTGATATTCGAAAGTAAATTCTGGGGCAACCGACGGATGCCAACCAATTTTGAAGTAGCTCGTCAGGGTTTATGCCGCCACAAATTTCTCTGAGCAGTTAAATCAAAATTGGAATCAAATCGGAAACATTAAAGAGTTCGGATTCGAGAATGCAGTCAACACAAGTATCAGAATCATGGGGCTTTTCAGAGAGGGATCTCGAAACTAAGCCAATTTCAAGGCTCACCAACTGGGAAGCCAGAGAGGCCGCCAGACTGGAGGCTGGCGGGCTGGCACCTATTTCAAACTCAATTAAACACGGAAAGGCTAGAACAGGACCAACCCACTCCTCGCCCTGTCGGTCGCCTGTTTTTCACTTTCTGTGTCATGAAATTCTCCACGCTGGACGCAGATGTTCTTTATGTGGGTGAGCCCCCACACTTTCCAGGCTGAGTGGGTTTATTGTGGATGCAGTCTGTCCTGGTGGATTAAATATTTGAATACAGATGCCAGCATGTCCTGTGCCAGGGGTCTTTTATTTTGATTTAATTTAAAGTCACGGCCCAGGGTCTTTAACTAAATAAAGGAAACTTTTCCACACAAAACTTTTCACACTCTTGGACTTTGGAAGAGAGCAGTGCCCTGGGGTCCTATTCTTTGCCTTTGTTTGTATTTCATGGACATTGATTTGATTGGATATTATGTCTCTATAAAATTGAATTATTTTCAACACTAAGTCTTGGCTTAGTTTCTAAAGCTAAGAGTTTACTTTCAGAATTTATATAGCTTTTGTATATATTTTATAAATTGACCAAACACTTAGCTTAGTTAAAATTTAAGCCTTTATTTGAAACCTTGTTGCCAAAACAACAGCCCATTTAGTCAGACTGTTTTTGGCAGAGGTTTATCTTTGTACCTTTTTTGTTGGCTGGGTTATTAGGTTCGCATGACAGCATTGGCAAAATACAAGCCAAAGGCAACAATAAACACACACACACGTTGCAGATTAGAATGTTTGCTGTTTTTCAAGCCATTTGCATACATTCCACACATACATCCCCCACTTCTGAAAGGACACCTACACGGAGTCGCATTCGGACACGTGGACACCTTTGTGACCCATCAAGCTTTACATTGAATTTCGGCAAGTGACCCGCATGTCGGTGACCATGCATAATTAGACCAGTTAAGGGCGTTGTTATGGCCCAAATATTTGGTTTGTAAATTGATTCTGCTTTGAGAGCTCTATGGCTTAAGATCAAGGCACATGGAGGTACAAAGGATTTATATCAAAGGCCTTATTTAGTAATTTAAGCAGCAAGGGGCTTTTCCTTTATCACCTTTAATTCACGAATTTATTTCTTTGAGAAGTCCTTCCTGATTTTCCCCAAACTGTCACTTTCAGTTTGACAAATTTGTGAGTAATATTTCGGCCCTTAGAAATAGTTCCTTTTGATTTGAAATATGTCACTTTTAATTGGGTAAATATATTTCAAATGCTGCTTACCCAAATCATGTCACCTGTTTGTAGTTTCTCTTTGATTTTTTATTGAAAGAGGGACAATCAGTGATTGTAGATTGCCAGATACACCTGTCCCACGTTGATGATGATGGCGTTTTTTCTGGCAAAGCTAAAACATTCGAATGTTTTAGAGTCAACGAACCAGGAACTCCACTAAAGCTCCACTAGCATTTCCATTTCCATTCAGAGTCCCGTTTCCAACTCAAACCATTCCGATTTCCGATGCCAATGCCAATTCAAAATTGTCCCATTGCTGGCCAGTGTTCTGTGAAGCGGAAAGCTGGCCAATTATTGTGTGCAAAGTCCATAAATAATATGGCTAAAAGGGGGTGGAGAATTGAGGTGGAGCTGAGCTCCAAATGATGCCACTTGCATTAAGTGGAGATGCCCGAATCTAATCTGCATTTGTGGCACCAGGCCTCCCCAAAAGCGGCTTCTTTCCTTTACCTTCCATCTCCCAGTTTCTGGCTTCTCACTGTTTGTCCCCGGCACACATTTCGAGTGTTCTGTTTATGTGGAGCACACATTTCCAGCTCAAGACATGGAGCCGTCGTTTGCATAATAATTTAACTCATTACTCGCACCACCCTCGCACCCGTCACCGTCGAAGCCCATGTGGAGCACAAACTAAATAAGCATAAGTAAGACACATTCATTTGCCAGACGCTGAGTTCTTCTCTCCTCAGTTGCGAAAGGATTTACGGCATCCTGGAGCCCTAACGAGGTAATTTCGAGGCTCGGCGAGGTCAAGATGTGACGACGACACTCACACGGCACTAACACCCACTCACTTACCCACACCCCTACACACACATGAACACTCTCCAACACACACACTGAATGATGAATGCATTTCTGTTTACGGCGCTCATTACGCATACGACACGTGAGCCCGACTCCTAAACGTTGTCGCATTTAGAACGCCTTCTGGACCCTCGGGGGATGCTTTTCCCTCTAAACGGTTTCTTAACTTGTCAACATAATTGATTTGGTTTGCATCTGGAATCGATAGTTCTACGCCCAGGGCCATCATTTCAACCATTTCAACCAGCAATTATTGACTGTTTTTGCCCGCAAATTTGCAAGTTCAGTTTGCAGAACATAAAACGGGCAACGAGGCGCATAAAGTGCATTTCTAGGGCGGGAAGCGAATGCAGGTGAAAGTTTGGTGGCCTCCAGGTTGTGGTTCTTGTTCTGCCTTCAGGTTGCAAGTTGCTTACCGCATTGCCCAACTTTTTTTATTGCCATCGCGGTGCTCCGCTTGTGGCGAAATGCGAAAATGGAGGCTATGGCCGCAAAAAGTTGTCGATTCTGGGGCAGATTTTAAAGAGATACCCTCATTGAGGTTTAATTCTAGTTTATTGCAGTTGGACGCAGAAAGGCACTGGAAGAAATGGCCAGGTAAAGAGATGGGTTGGTTCATTTCAGTTCGATTCAATATTACCTAGACCCATAAGGCAATAAGAACAAGTACAAGTTTATTTCTTTCCTGTAACAAGACGCCAGCGAAATGGAATCACTCATTTAATAAATAGCTTAAAATGCCTCTCGTCTAGACGGGAAAGAACTGGTCCAGGCATTGGAAAATCAACTGGTTTTCCCTCTGACTTCTGTCATTTTTATGCTTTTGCTCTTCTGTCTCTGTCAAGGGTGCTGCCTCCTCGCACTTTTCGAGCTCATTCTCGCAGGTCTCTAATCTTCAACCGTAGCATTTCTTTCTCCGTTCTCCGTTTCCTGTCCGGGTCAGTGTCGCAGCTCGAGGGGATGCACATCCCGGAGAGACGTCCCGGATAGACTGTACCCTTGCAAAAAGTTTCTGACTAAGCGCCTGGGAGGAGTTTGCAGCTCATCCCGCTTACCCGCTTACCCGCTTTCCGCATTTTCCGCTGCTGCACAGTTCCCGATGCAACAGCAACAGCAATTCACTTAAGTTACTCAAGTCGTTGAGGGCATAACTTCCGCTTCGCATTCCAGCTGAAGACCCAATCATTCGCCCCCATATAGCCTCCAGCCAGTATCCTATAGCCTCCTGCCGAGCTGCTTACTGTCTTAATGCCGTAGCTCACACATTTCATGCCATTTCTTCATGTACGCATTCCTTTGATCCGTCCTCCTTCGGTTCATGCACTTGTGCACTTTACTTAGCCATTTATGTGTGTGTGGATATGTGGATATATGTTGTGCTTAGACTACAGTAGTTGGATTACGCCGCTCCGTAAAATGTTTGCCCTTCGAAGACTTCTGTATGAATGCAGTAAATATTTGCAGAGCCACCAAAGGCATGAATCAATTCGTTTGATCTGATTTCCAACTTTAAACACACTCTTTAGTGGCTTTTAATTCACTCAACAGATTATCTTTCATGGTCGTTAGTGAAATTGGTTTAACTGGAACAGTGCTGACTTGCCACCAGAGTGCTAATTGAACTAGATTCGATTCTTAAAGCATACTTGGCCAAAAAGTAAACACTCAACAGAAAGTAAAGCCGCCCGAAGAAAGTGAGTGAGCCGAGTGAGGTGCGAAAATGCGTTCAGTTCTCTAAAAGATCTCCAAGCGAACGCATCTCTGAAATGAATCTAAGGTGGATCTTGTTCCTGGGTTTCTATACTCTAACCTGGATTGGTGTTTGCTCTTCTGAAAGCCATCTGAAAAGGTTCAGCAGATCGCTAATTTTTCCACCCACGAGTCCCACGCGTGTCCAGTTCATCGGCGGCATTGGTATTCCTGTGGAGAATCTGCACTTTGAGTCGGTCACCTCGGGATATGTCCTGAAAGCGGAATACTTCCTGCCCACCAACTCCACGGAAATCACCAGGGTCTACCTCAAACCTCAAGCAATCACTGCTCGGACGGAGTCCACCTACGGTACACTCTACAGGTGGGTTATTTACCGCGGCATTGAGATGATCATCCAGAACATGGGCCTGCCCGGAAGGAGCTGCCTTCTCCGACTGATCTGCGAACATGCTGCCCTGCCACTGACGCATGAAAGTGGCCTGTTGGGTGAACTGCTGGATATCGTTCTGTCGCCCTCCAAGTCGGTGGACGAACTGGGCCACAGTTCGGATCGGGAGTACCACACATCGGAGCATTACGGCAAACGGGGAGGCGACTGTGAGGCGGCCTACGCCCAAAAGTGTCAAAAATCGCCCATGGAACTGTTTAGTTTGCTGATGGATGTCAAAGAATAAAAACAACGGACATTGAATTTGATAATTGTGTCAGTTTTGTGGTGGTTTTATATGATTTACAGGGTATTGGTTGTGTATGTCAGACTATTACAAAAATTTATAAAAGAAAAGAAAAACCTTTTGACCAAAAATATTCCAAATTGGTAACTTTATCTGTACATTCATAAATTCAAGGTATTAGAATTCGTTTTCTCCCAGCCCAACTAGATTTTATAGCTAAATATTTATGATTAAACCGTAAGAATTAATTTATTTATCATCCCACGCCTCCCAAAAATCACGTACTCTCACATTCAAGGTGCGACAATTACAAAGTTGATAAACATTTTAATTAGTTTTCGGATTCGTTCGTGATCTGCATGGCAATCGGCATCAATTGTAATTAGGGACACAATGTAAGGACAGTGTGTACACCGGGTCGTATGCGTAATGTGTGAAATGAACCGGGCGGGGATCACTAGTGGACTTAACTCGCTTAAATTTAAATGGCAAACACAGTTTGTCTGAATTATGTGACGCCTACATGCGAATCGCACACACGAATTTACGGCTTTCTCATTAAGTAATCCAGGACACGTATATGAAGGGGACACGCCCCCGCTCTCGCCTTCAACTCCCACCCCAGGTCCGTCCAGCTTCTAATGGGCTTAGCGAATTTGGGCAGCTGGAAATAGGAGTTTGGCTCACAGAACCATGAAATAATTACACACATTCAATGAAACGCGACCGGAATCGGGAGGAGGCGCTCATCCCGGCGCCGATTGCTTCTGGCATTTCAATGCCAAAATGTGGAAATGAGTTTAATATTAATTAACATCACGTCAACGCGTGTCCCCCCTATGGATGCTCGGTCATTAGCTGAACGGTTTTGTGTGCGTTTTAAACATTCGCCCGCAGGACTCTCAGATGAATTTTGACCAGGCCCGGTCAGTACCCGTTGGCCAGAAAACGGACCAAGCCATAAAAACAACAATATGAAAATGAGATGCTTTTGCCAGTTCGGGTCGGGTCGGGTTGGGTCCATTTGTCTTCAATTTGCAGCTGCCCCGAGGCAGCAATTGTGGGGCAACAGATGTGGTAAATTATTTAGCAAATGCAAATGCAATTTTTCAGTCGAGTGCCCAAGTGGGCGGACAAAAAAGGGAGCTATTGTTTTTTATACCCTTGCAGAGGGTATTATAATTTTGTCCAAAAGTGTGCAACGCAGTGAAGGAGACATCTCGGACCCTATAAAGTATATATATTCTTGATCAGGATCACCTCCTGAGTTGATATGAGCATGTCCGTCTGTCCGTCTGTCCGTCTGTCTGTCCGTCTGTCTGTCCGTCTGTCTGTTTCTACGCAAACTAGTCTCTCAGTTTTAAAGCTATCGTCTTGAAACTTTGCACACACCCTTCTTTTCTTTGCACGCAGTATATAAGTCGGAACGGCCCGGATCGGTCGACTATATCCTATAGCTGCCATATAACTGATTGATCGGAAATGGTATAACTTTGGTGTTTTTAAAGTTAGAGAGTTCAAATTTTAGGTGAGAGCTTTTTTTGGCATAATAATACATAAAACATTTTTGACCAAGTTTCATAAGGATCGGCCGACTATATCCTATAGCTGCCATATAACTGAACGATCGGAAATGACCCAACTTTCGTGTTTTTGATGATAGAAAGCTGGCACTTGGTACACATTCTATTTTTGGTCAGTTAATCCGATCTACCAAATTTCATAACGATCGGTTGACTATATCTTATAGCTGACATATAACTGTACGATCGGAAATGGTTTTTGGTAGAAATACCAACTTTGGTATTTTTGAAGATAGAAGCTTGAGACTTTTTTTAGATTTTGTATTGTAATAAATTGGATTATATATTCATATTCCCATAAGGATCGGCCAACTATATCCGATGTTTGCGATATATATCCGGTTTTAGCTGCAAGGGTATATCAACTTCGGCTCCGCCCGGAGTTAGCTTTGCTTTCTTGTTTTAAAAGAAAACCAAACACCCTGGAGTGTGGACTTGAAAAATAATACTTTTCCAAGCTGGGGGATATTTATTAATATTTGCTTTCACACATTGTAAGGTATTCATTTGAAAATTCTTCTGTCCCCATAAATTCTTCAGCTAAGCCGGCATATGAGGCACTTCCTGTCGCATTCAGGGTCACGTTTGAATATGCTAACTGCAATCCTTTTGCTCTAAAGATAATTTAAAGGCTCCTCGGCCGAGTCCCGGCCCCGACGACCTCCTGTCGATGGTCTGCAATTTTGTAGTGCGGAATTTATGGGCGAATGTGGAGATAAACTTGCTGTCATTTATCAACGAGCCACTACCGGATTGTTAGCCAGGGTCCGGGACACAGTGAGGGTCCTGGTCCGGGTCTGGGCCCGGGTCCGGGTATCCGTGCTCTGGCTGAGTGAACGGGCCGGGTGCCGTCGCCTTTTGAAAACATTTTGACTTGAAATGATTACGCCAAAAACTCAACAGATAAAACCCCGAGCACGGAAGTAACCATAAATCAGTAAGTAAATGTGACTTCCTCGGCCTGTGAGCTGGACTTCCATAGCCTAACACACGCTGCCAATGATGAGGCAATGGCGGGAGGAGGGAGCAGGAAAAGGACTCCTGTCCTGTCGTCCTTCTCTGTCCGCTTGAGTGGCGAATGGAAGGAAGGTAGACGACCAATTTGCAGTGGAAAGGCAATGGCAACGGCAACGGATGGGAGTACAACTTCGCCGTAGATTGGCAACATTTGATGGCACAAGTTACGTTCGCATTTATCTTTCGAGCAAGTGTCACTTGTGAGTTTCTTGAACCACAGCCAAGTCCGGACACTGTCCTCCGAGAGCAGGGTCCTGCCACATTCCTCGACACTAGCCTGCTAAGCATCAGCTTTAAAAAGGGTTTCCTCCCGGCACTGATTTATATCCTGTCGAAGTGGAGTCAAAAAGCCAATTCCCTTGAGTTCTATAAACAGTTGTTATGCCTTTGTAATTGTTGTGAATTACCCTGTAATCGATTTAAGTAGTTAACAGTATGGTACATATCTGTAAAGTCCCAAGAAGATAATTACATTACTAAATTACTGATTCCACCTACCTGTATCTGCACATCTTTCTTAAACTTCCGAGATAGTACTTTCGTATCACCCTCAACTCTGAGCTCTTAATTTGACAAATTAGCAGTCTTGGCCAGAATTGTTGTTCTTGTTATGGCCACAAGCTGAGAGTCGAGAGTCGAGGGGCAAAGTGAATCATTTCTGTTTGCCTGTCATCTGTTTGATTTATGTGGCATTAAATAATTATAATTTATGCCCTGCCTCAGGAACTCAAGAAGGAGAAACACTTTCCCGGCATTCGGGCATTTCTCGGTAATCTAATGACTGGAAGCTAGCTGACTGGCTGGTTGGCTTGGAGATATTGCAATTTGCATATGCACAGAGTCAGCGATGATTAGCATAATAAAGTGAGCCGGGGATGTGACGTCGGAGCAACACGTCGTATGCGCAATATTAATTATTCAGAGCGAGGCAAAGGCGTCTAGAATACACAAAACAATGCAACACTTATTGTACTTACCTTGGGATACCCCACCTACTTTTCGGTGTCCTTTGCGCTAGCTTTGAGTTTCAACGAGAATCCTGGGAGAACATGGCCAGGCAATAAACGAGCAATTTTTCCAAAATTACAAAAATGTGAGCAAACATTTTATTTGCCCAAAGGCAGGCACTTTCTTGCCAAAGGCACAAGGAATAAAATCTCCATGCATTCGTACAAAAAGTAGAGAGTTTGCGAGTCTAACATAAATCTTTGCCAATTCCATGGGTCTGCCAAAGGACCTGCGACTCTTTCCTTTTTTTTTTTGCCCCCACTTTTAGTTTATTTCGTTCATTTCATTCTCTTTCACTTTTTTCTCTCTGGCTGCTTCTTGCTGCAATGACAAGAATTTGAATAATTCGCCAAATGTGCCAAGTTGAAATGTTAAAATTCCCAACGACGCGTCGCAGCCCCGGCGGAAGTTGGCAAGCGGCCGGGAACTTCCGGTTTTGCCAAAACTGGAGTCACGACCCGCCAAATGATTGCAAATGAATGGGAATGGCACTGGGAATGGTACTGCGAATGAGGATGGCACAAAGTGAGGGAGTCCGGGGAACGAAACCCACGAGGATGCGAGCCAGGATGCGGATGCGACGCCTTAAAAACTTCTCGCTTAATGCATCATTAAATTTATAGCCCCGAAAATTATTTAGCGCCATTTTGCTAATGTGTCACCCCATAAACCAATTGGCGAATGTTGGTTTTCCCCAATGTTGGTCTTGTTAAATTGTAGGAGCTCTGGTTTATTCGTTTAAAAATAATTGAAAGTGGGTTTTCCTTATGTAAAGAGTTTAAAAAACAAAAAAGAATTCAGACTTGCTTTCGACTTGTTATGTTATTAACCATAGCTTGCAGAGTCTATATCTTAAGATTTTTTTAATTCTTTATCAACCTACACACCAATTTTTTTTTAGATTTTTTTTATAAATTTTCTGGGGGATCCCCTTCGAAAATGCCAAAAATGCATGGAGGGGCAATATGGCCTAGTCCAGAGGCTATATCCAGAGAGAAACCTACACACCAAGTTTTTTTTAAATTTTTTTTCTAAATTTTCTGGGGGATCCCCTTTAATAATGGCAAAAATGCATGGCCGAGCCCAGAGGCTATATCTTCCCCAATATTCTTCTGATTCTTAATCGGAATGTCTTAAACGATTTGTACTCCGATCTCTATCAATCTGCATCAAAACCTACATACCAATTTTTTTTTAGATTTTTTTCTAAATTTTCTGGGAATCCCCTTCAATAATGGCAAAAATGCATGGAGGGGCAATATGGCCTAGTCCTGAGGCTGTATCTTCCGCAATATTCTTCTGATTTTTAAACGGAATGTCTTAAACGATTTGTACTCTAATTCTCTATCAATCTGCATCAAAACCTACACAGCAATTTTTTTTAGATTTTTTTCTAAATTTTCTGGGGGATCCCCTTCAATAATG